CGGCGATGTGTGCGTCCCGGCGCCTGTGCCTGCTGGCCCGCCACCGCCGCCACCGCCACCCGCACCACCGTCACCGCCGCCGAATGGTGAGTGCATCAGCGACATGGTGTACCCCGAGGTGGCGCAGGCAGTGGGCAGCGGGCTGTCGTGGCTGTGCTACCGCAACGTGACGTTCAGCGGGGGCGGCATGAGCCTGACGGTGCTGATTGGGGGGATGACGGGCGACGTGGCGAACATCACGTTCGATGGATGCACGTGGAGGGACGGCGCCGTGCTGGTGCTGTTGGGCAACGCGCACGCCGCTGTGGGGTTGCTGAACATTGTTGTCACCGGCAACACGTTCGATGACGCGCTGCTCAGCCCGGAGGGTGATTTTCCACCGCACACGAACATCACGATCAGCGGGAACCACTTCACGGTCACGAGGCTGATCTCTCGGCCAGGTTTGGAGCTTGACAGCCCTTCGTGTGTTGCGATGAATGGACTGGTGGTCAGCAACGGCTCCGCGGTGGTGCTCAGTGGCAATGTGTTTCAGAGCGTGACGACATCGTCAAGCGCCATTCACGCTGCGGGATCTCCACTGAGGGTGTCGTGGCACTCCCTCTTTGCGGTGATGGGCAACACGTTTCATATGGACGGCGGTGGCGCTACGCTGATATATCTTGGAGGGTCTGGCCAATCCTCGTCGCTGGATGTACTGAACAACTCTGCCGTGGTGATCCGAGACAACATTGCGTCGAGGCCGGTGAAGTACTTCATGTTATTTTTCTGGGCATTACGTGTGGAGTCCTGGTCAGCTGTTGTTTTTCAGGGCAACGACATGCAGGGAAGTTTGAATGTGTTTCGTTCAATGTTTCTTTCCTATGTCTACTACAACTCCTGGCTGCAGTTGAGCGGCAACCTCTGCCGTGAATCCCCATCGGATGCCTTTGCCTACGCATACCCCGGGGTGAATCTACGGAACTCCACAGTGTCTGTGTCAGGCAACAAATTCATTTCCAGCACGGGCACGCCGAAGGTGCTTTGGATATTATTAGGGTCCAGCGATCTCACAAACGGAACGGTTGTGGCCGCGTGCAACACTGTGAACGACAAGGAGGGGGTGGAATACAGTATTCCGTCCGAGTACAATGCCACCATTTTGACCTGCAGCGACCCATGCACCCTCGCGGCGTCGTGCTTCCCTGCGTATACGGCGACGGTTCCGAGTGATGGCTGCGCCTGCAGGTGCGCGGAGGGCGGCCACGGCGATGCGTGCCTGCCCGTCGCTGTTCCCGAGCCACCGAGTACCGACGGCGCCGACTCGTGCGTGCGCGATGTGCGTGTGGATGAGGAGGTGAACGCCGGTTTCGGGACGTCGGTGGTGTGCTACGTTGGTGTGACCTTTGCGGCGGACGTCGTGGTGGACGTGGGCTTGATGTCAGGGAGCGTGCGCAACGTGACGCTGGCGAACTGCACGTTTTTGGACGGAGCGAGCCTGTACGTTGTCGGGTGGCTGTCCGACCCGCCTGCTGGCCAGCGTGCCGATGTGTTGATCAGCGGACTTGAGTCGCGCTTCGGCGGCGGCGTGCTGGTGGCGAACCGATTTCCGCCGGGCTCGCGCGTCACTTTGGTGGACTCGGTGCTGCTTGCAGAGAAGCGCGTTGCGTATCGCGGCGCCTACGACCTTGGTGACGCCTCCGCGTGCCTCGTGGTGCACAACGTGAATCTGACGGGGAGCGTGCTGACCATTGCGCGCACGCAGGTGGCGGCGGTGTTCGGCGACGCTGTTGGCGTGTTGGTGGTTGGCGGCGTGGCGCTGTCGTCGCGCGGTGCGCTGTACGTGGACGGGCTGTCGGTGCAGACGGCGCTGGGGCTGTGCGTGTCGGTGGAGGGCGGTGTTGCGGCCAGCGGCGGCTCCGTGGTGGCGTTTGTTGACAGCGACTTCCTACTGTGCAAGCACGCGGTGTCCGTGCGTGGGGCTGTGAGCGTGTCGGGCTCCATTGTGGCGCTTGTGCGGAGCGACTTTGCGTCGACGGAGGACTACGCGGTTGCGTTTGATTCGACGGTGAGCCTGGCCGGCGGGTCAATGCTGCTGGTGAAGGGCAACGTGCACGACGGCGTCTCGAGGGAGATGCTCCACGCGGCTGGCGCCGTGACCGCTGTTGGGAGCACGCTGAGCTTTGTGCGCAACCGAGCGCTGCTGCCGCGGATGCTTTCGGTAAACCTGTCGCTTGCGGCTGGAGCGCATTTGAGGGTGGCATGCAACGACGCTGGTGGACGCGTCCTGTCGACGGCGGAGGAGTACGCAGCGGCTGGTTTTGGCGACGCTGGGAGCATCGACTTTGTTGGGTGCGACGCCTGCGACAGGGACACGCACTGCTACGCGCCCGGGACGGCGACGGCGAGCATGAAGAACGGTGTGTGCGTGTGCGCGTGCGGCAGCGGCGGGTACGGCGAGGCGTGCGTGCCTGTGGGTGCTCCCGCATTGCCGCCCGCTGCGGGCACCGCGTCGAGTGTGTTCGTCCGCGAGAACTTGACGGTGCGGTCGGTGTTCGTTGTGCCTGCCGGCGCGAGCGAGGTGACGCTGCGCCACGTTGTGCTGGACGGCGTGAGTCCTGTGCTGTACGTGCCGTGGATGGCGCGAGACGGCGTGCGGATCGTTGTGCAGAACGTGTCGCTGCAGAACGGCGCCGTGCTGTACGTGATAGGCGGTGGAGGGCTGCACGGTGCGGTGGCGGCGGGGAGCAACGAGAGCGGGCCGGTGGAGTTGTCCGTGTGCAATGTGGAGGCGCTGAACGGTGCGCTTGTGCTGACCGGCACGTTCCCCGCGGAATCTGTGCTGACGGTGACGGACTCCCTGCTGGTTGCCGCGAGGTCGACGCCGCTTGTGTATCTTCCCGGCTCGCAGTCCTCGCCGTACGCACCGGTGCTGGTGCTGTCGGGTCTGCGGCTCGTGCGGTCCGTGCTGGTTGTGTCCGGCGTGGCCCTCGTGACCGTGATGACTGGTGGGCGGACGGTGGTGGTGGACGGCGCCGTGCTGGAGCTCGTCGGTGGTGGTGTCGCGCTGGACGCGGCTGTGTTCGGTGGCGAATATGCGTTGTACGCGAGTGCGCGCGTGGTGGCGTCGGAGGGCGCTGTGCTGCGCGTGTCGGGGAGCCAGGTGTACGCCGCGCATGGATTGGTGTTCGACAGCGGGGTGGAGGCCAACGCGTCCGCCGTCGTGGTGAATGACAACGCCGGTGTGCTGACGGATGGCGCGCTGCTGGTGCTGCGGGAGACGGTGTCGTTTTTGTCCGGGTCGTGGCTGTCGGTGCGCGGCAACAGCATCAGCGGCAGGCTCCTGTCGGTGCCTCCCAACCCGCGCAGTGTGGAATTTGTGCAGAGCACGCTGACGTTTCACAAGAACGCTGGCAGTGGGCCCGTCGTGATGGACGGCACCGTTGCGCTCGGGGGCGCCGGCCGAAGGTTCGTCGTGGGGTGCCTGACGCTCAACGGGCAGGCGCTGCAGGCGATCAACTACAGGTCCGCCGGCATCATCGGGAAAGTTCGCCCCGTGGCGTGCAGCGTGTGCGACGCCGACGTGAGCTGCTTTGCTGCTGCGACGAGGGCGATGTCGGAGTCGTGCGGCTGCCGCTGTGCTGAGGGCGGGTACGGGCGCGACTGCCTGCCGGTGTACCTGCCGCGCGTAGACGGGTGCAACCGCACGCCCGAGAAACCGCTGCTGAGCCACACGGCGACGCTGACGGCGACGCGCAGCCTGACACCAACGTGGACGCCAACACCGCCAACAACGAGCCTGAGCGCGACGCGCTACAGTCCGACGAACTACGGACCGACGGAGACGCCGCAGGTGACGGAAACGGTGACGCTGCTGCCCACGCCGACCCCGGCAGCGTCGGTTACGGCGACGGAGCCGCCGACCGCGACAGTGACGGCATCGGAGTCACTGAGCGTGAGCCTGTCGGTGAGCAGCACGCCGTGGTGGAGCGACGTGGCGTGCCCGACACTTACCGTGACGACGACGGCGGCTGGTGGGAGCCTGACGCAGAACGACATTCGCGGCGGTGGGAGCGCCGTCCCGACACGGCTGATGGTGGTGCTTCCGCCGCCGTTCCGGTGGGCAGGCGACTTGCAGCTCGGCACGCACCTGAGCTTCGTGCCGGTGTCGACGGTGCAGCCGACCGGCTTTGGTGGTCCGTGGGGAGCGATGCTGAGCAACGCGACGTGGGAGCGCAACGCGACGAATCCGTCCACCGTCCTGGAGCTGGCTGTGCCCGTGCACCGCGGCTACTTCATTGGTGCCGACGAGACGATAGTCATTCGCTGCGACGCTGTGGCGCTGTCTGGCGGCTGCAACGGTGCGCTACTTGGGTCTTTCACCATCGCGTCCAACACGCCGCCTGCCGTTGCCAGCGCCCTCTCGGCGATCACCGGCGTTGTTGCGGGTGCGACGGCTGTTGCCGTGGTGGTGACCGGCGGGCTGGGCTCCATCCTGGAGATGCAGGCACTCGGCGTGTTTGCGAGGATGTCATGCGCCTCGGCGCAGGAGCGTGCGAGCACCGTTGCGCTGCCGTACTTCCTGTCGGTGTTCGCTGCCCTTGACCCGCTGTGGATGGTGGTGGGCAACGCGCTGCTCGCCGCTGTGTTTGGGTGCGTGCACTACGGTGTGACGGCGGCCTTCCAGCGGTGGCGCGGCGTGGACGCTGCGAGTGCGTGGGCGGCGATGCGCTTCCCGAGCCTGACGTACGTCGTGGCTCACGCGATGCACCTCGGCATCTTCTTCGGCTCCGTGTTCGCACTGGCGATGCCCGGCGCCCGCGTGCAGCACTACGTGATTGGTGTCGTTGGCGTGCTGTACGGTGTGGCGTTCCCCGCTGGCGTGTGCTACTTGATTGCCCGCCACACGGGCGCGAGCTTT